GAGGGGTCAACATTAGTATTTTACCTTAAACTAGTAAGCTAATTTATATATATTTTTTTGTATTATAAGGCAAAAAACAAGGGGGCCATGGCCCTCGTGACATCTAAAAGGGTCCATCAATCCGACTCGGACCCCGAGCCCCAACCGAATACCCTAACATTGCTTGGACCTCGACGGAAGAAAAAGCTTTGGCATTGGCATGGATCGATGTATCCGAAGACTTGACGGCCAGCAATGACAAAAAGTGGTATGAAGTCCACATATTAGAAAACTTTACTTTACATGTGGTTCAAAAGGAACAAAAACATCTAATACCTCTTCCATATCGTCGGATGGTCATATCGGGTTTGACCTCAGTATTTATGATGACTTAGTCGATATTATACCACCTCCCCACCCAATGAAAGTGTTAAAGCAAAACAAAAAGGTACAAGTGACGGGTCATATTCGGACGATATAGAAATTTTGAGGGTGGAGATGACGGTGATAAATTAAAATCTCACAGATTATTAGTCATTTGGCGAGAAACAAGAGTTCAACAAAGTAAAATCCCCATGTATGAAAATTCTAATTCAAGATGTTAGTAACTTATTTGAGGATGAATATGTCACTGGTTTCGCGTTGAAACCCAAAATTATATATATATATATATATATATATATATATTATATATATATATATATATATAACTTGTAATTTTTATCTTTCTTTCGTATTAGTGTGCTCTTTTAATTATGTATTTAGTTTTTTATATTATTATGTATTAGGTGTTTTTAATTATGTATTAGTTGTTTTTTTTAATTAAAATGGAATTTTTAGTTTTTATTAAAATAAACTATTTTAAAAAAAGACACATGACATTTCATTCGGTTTCAATGACAAAAAAAAAAAGAAGAGCGTGACAAATCTAATATGGTGTTGACGTGATATAAAAAAAAGGTAAAATATCTAACTTGGTGCTAAGATCATAAAAAAAAACATTATGACAAAAATACCACCACTCAGTCCAGAAGAAGGAATCCATATAATTTCGGCAACTGCAATTTCCCTAAGGGTCCTACTTTGGACACACCACTCTACACAACACCAACCTATATATTAGGTTTGCTTTTTAGGTGAATGAGGGTAATTATCATCATATAATTATTATTGACTTTACTTTTTAAATCATCATCACAATATAATTATTATTTGACCAACTTTTATTATTAGTTCATTATTACATAATCTATAAATCATTATTATTTAATAACTACATTTTTTACTAACTTAATTAATATTAATAATTTTATATTTATTTTTTATTAAGATAAAAAAATATAGTTTTTATAATATAATAACATATATAATATTATAAAAAAATAAATTATAAATAAATTTTCGTCAACCTAATATCATTGATATTATAAATAATATTATAAGAAATAAAATCCGAACAAATCTTCATCATTTTTTTTTAATTTTAAATATTACATAACAAAAATCTGAGACAAAAATAAACAACAATTAATCATCTATAGTCATAAAAGATCTTTCCGTAGGTCTGAGTCGCTTATAAAATTCTAGACGCGACTTATACATAGTTTGTCATTCGGCTGCGGACGGGTCTTTGTGGCGGATCCATAATGCTGAAATAGGAGGCATCGGATACTCTCCTTCTAACTGTACCATCACATAGTGATTGATGTATACAAGTGCAAATGTAAGGACATGATGATTTTGAAACTCACTAGGACCTCTCCATAGAGGGAAAAAGGTTACAGGGCCCACTGTGGTCAAAAATTAGACAATCACACCAAACCTGTTGGCTATCAGGATACTTGTCTCAGGCATAAGCATATAGTGTTCTGGTGGTGCTGTCCTATCTGTCATGAAGAAAGACAATGAATCAAGTACTCCATTGCATCCAATGAAAACTCTAAAATAGTCTTCATATGACGTCAATAACTCATCATACAATTGTTGGCGAATGAAAAGCCACTCATTTTCATCATACCCGAGACAAACAGCTACCGATCGAAAACCACAATTTCCATCACCCCTTACATTTTGTATACGCGTGATGTATGGATGAAATATTGATGGAATTTCCTTCAACAATGAATTATGTTCCTTCGTTGCTTTCTCTTTCAAGTCAAACCGGTACGACCATTGGCATGTTGGTTCCTCATTCAAGTCAAACTGGTACGAACATTTGTCTATTGGTTCCTCATTCATGCCCATGAAGAATGAACTATGCCTAGCTGGTTCATTGTTCAAGTTAAATAATGATGAATTATGCCTAGTCGGTTCATCGTTCAAGTCAAAGAATGATGAATAATGCCTAGTCAGTTCATCGTTCAAGTCGAAGAATGATGAACTATGCCTAGTCGGTTCATCGTTCAAGTCGAAGAATGATGAACTATGCCTAGGTGGTTCCTGATTCAAGTCTGAACAACTGTATCGGTGAGGAGCTTGACTTTGATGGTGACCACGCTTCACTTTTGGGCGTCCACGGTTATTTTTCTTAACCGAAGGTTCATTGATCATAATTTTTGAAGGATCGATTATCTCTTCCATCTTTCTTATATAACTGTATTTGACATGATCTGGTTGATTGTTGAATTTTTCCTTCCATCTTTGCATATGATCATCAACATTAAGATTTCCATAATCCACAAATACACAAGGCTTAAAATCAAGCGTTCTCCAAAAAATATCAATCGAATCCAACGGAATAGGTGAACCTATAGTAAAAAATTCAAAATGTTATAAAGTGATTATACATATAAAACTTGTCAATTTAATACAATACATTTGACATACCTGCATCAACATACATCGCAAGTTCGTGAGCGCGTGGTAAACCAAAACATGTTCGTAGTTGACAACCACAATTCTCAGGAGTTGGTGCAAATCCTTTTAACCGATGAAGCTCTTCTAAGATTTTATCCAAAGCATGCTCTGAAACATGGTGTCGTAGTGAATTGAATATCTCATCCTTAAAATTTGGTTTATGAATGATTATGCTCCTTGTGAAACTCTCTTTGATAGCTGTGTCTTGCGACTGTACAACTGTTTCAATAACATATATGAATTTATCCAAATCACGTTTTAGAGATGCTAGGTGTTTTTTTAGCTTAGCGTGCTAACTCTCAACTCTATTTGTTGTTGAATTTCCAAAATTGGTACTTTTATCGGTCCACAATGATACAAATTTGTCGGGATACTTCTCCAACCAAGTATTGTAAAGATACTCAAAAACAACTAAAATATGAAGAAAAATCAAATTAGTATGATTGAATGAAAAATAATTATTAAAGAAATTAAGAGTTTAGGATATATATTAATGATACCTGGATCTCTGGACAATAACGATTAAAGGTCTGCATACGCTTGCATATATGCACTCGGTGTCGGAGATTCGACTAATTTCTTCCACATTGGATGAAGAGAACCCCAAGTCGTATCTGATTTGATACGTTTCCTACAATGCTTTGTTATATCGTTGAATATATGCCACCTACAAAGTAAATGATTGCTTTGTGGAAAAACATCTTCGCACGCTAGGACGCGGAAGGAACAGTAGTACCCACCAGTTCGGGTGTAGCAGTGAGGATATGGAAATCCACGGATTGGTTTATAGGTTTCCCCAGAGGGATTAGACCTGCTTAAGCCAGTGATAAGACTGTAGGAACGTCACTACAGTTATGAGATCAAGGAAGCAATGGATTGCTTAAGGTAGCTTGTGATGTAAGGCTACCATTGGTCATGTAGCAATCACTTTTAGCCGTGGAGTTGGTAACGACGGGATTCGACACATGGATCTGATCGGTTGGATCAGAAAGTTGTTAGAGTCGCAGTGGCATGATAACTAGTGGCAACTAGTTCCAGGGAAGGATTTCGTTCGGAAGTCGTGTGAGGCAACTATGTGGGAGTCCTTTAGCTCCGCGACCGGGCCGGAACCCGGTATGTCAGATGATTAGTGAACGAATTGAGACCAGGGAGGTCTCGGTAGATTTTGGAAAGCAGCCATGTGGCAGCATACTGCTTCAGGCAGATCAGTGTTCAGACAGTTTTTGTGTTTAGGGCGGTATTGACAAATTGGGTCTTCAGGTGTATGAGAAGTATCTAGATGTTGGAACCCCCAGATATTAGGAGTTGAATAGTAGATGAGAGACAAGCAGATTGGGCTCAACAATAATGATTGGTATGAGAGGTCTGTCAGGGAGCCATACCATCTCGAGACTTTAGGTTTCGGATCGAGTAAATGTGATCATATTGCAAGAGATTCATTTATTTTCAGTTTTTAGAACCCTGCGAGGGTTGGTTACGGTTTCCTTGGAAAGGCTAGAGTTATGCTCGGGATTATAGTTCAAGTTGTTTGGCGTGTAAGGAATGAGAAGAAACGATTTCGAGGACGAAATCAAATTTAAGTGGGGGAGAGTTGTAACATCCCATTTAAAATAATAATTAAATAATAAACCTGGAACCAGAGAAGCAATTTGTATTATTATATGTTATTATAGCCCAAAATCAAATAACAATTAGCTGGGAGTTGGTTTCGGGAAGCCAAATGACAAGATTTGAATCTCCGGGGGTTAAAGTGTAATTTTGGGATTTAATTTGTAAAGATTTTCATAAGTCAAGGGGTGTTTGGTATTATTTGGACTTAATATGTAAGGATTTATGATAGCGGGGGTTAAAGAGTATATTATGGACCTCATTTGACAATAATTGTGGAGGGAGGGGCTACTTAGTAAAATATGGGACTTATTTTGTAAGGGATTTTGGAAGATGGGGTTGAAATGGTAAAATAAGGACTATGTTTGAAAATGAATCTTGAAATGAGGGACCGATATTGTCAACATGGGTTAGAGTTTGAGGAGTCGGGTATATATGCTTTACGTTGCCCTAACCCTAGCTGTGTTTGTCCAGCCGCCATCCATACCTCTTCAACTCCCAGCACTGCACCCCATTTATGCCACCCTTCACCATCGGCGTTGCCACAGATGATGGAGTCAGAAGAATCGCCGACATGACGAGTGTTGCTGCTGGTATCTTTCCATGGTGGCGGAAGACGGAGGCCGACGAGGATGTGTCATTTCAGTCGTGAGTGAGGAGGACCGCACCACAGCCGCGCTGCTGCTGCGGTTGCTGCCACTCGAAGACGAGTCCATCGTCGGACGCTGTGACTTCTTTACCAGAGAAGCGAGTTGGGGAGGAGCCCCTGTCGTTGGTCGAAGTTCGCTGCCACCGTTCTTCTTCTTTCCTTCTTCTGTTAGACGCCACCATGGTTGTGGGTGACCAGTGTATGGACGTTGGTTCAGTTGGGGCTGAAGAGGCGTTGCTCGATGTCGCTGCCACCGTCGAGTAACTATTTCATGCACCCCGGTTGCCCTCCGCCGCTCTCTTCCATAGTTACATCGCAAACCGCCGTCAACTGCTATTGTTGCCACCTGTGGCTGCTGCCGCTGCCATATTCCGTCGCCACCAGGTGGGTGGGTGGATCCGTTGCAAGTATCTAACGTGTGTGTTGTGTGTGTTGTTTGTTTGGGCTGGAAAATCAAGAACAACCACCACCACCGTAAGGTGGTGGCTACCGCCATGAACCACCGTGTGTGTGTGTGTCTTAGTGGTTGTGTGTGTTTAGTTGAGATTAGCATTGTAAAATGTAACTAGAAATCGGAATAATGAAATGAAACCCTAACCACCAACATGAGGTGGTGGCTGCCGCCTCCTGCCGTCGCCGACCGCCGTGTCGGGTGGCGGTGTGCTTTGCCTTGCTGTGTTTGATTCGTTCGGGATGCCTGAAACCCTAATGGGCCCAATGAAACCCTAATGGGCCCAATAAAACCCTAATGGGCCCAATAAAGCCCTAATTGACCTAAAAGTCCAAACATGTGACTAATGGGCCTAGTGAAACCCTAATGGGCCTAATGAACCTTAAGTGATCAAATGACCTAGCTATTGGGCCTATTGGGCTAAGATGGGGTTGGAAACCCTAATTAGGGTTTAGAAAACCCTAATATTGAATTTATGGGCCTTGGACTTCGGGACCCACATTTAGTCCTTTGGAATTGGACTATGTATTAAGCCCAATCACACCATATGATTTATTTAGAAGAGTGATGGACTTAATGGATTAAGTCCTTAATGGGTTAAGTGAAAAACACTTAACCCTAATCGTCATGTCATGTCAGAACCCTAATTTCACTTGGGCCTTGAGTTGTGTCTTCCTATTGGGCCTTGGTGGTTGGACTATTGATGGGCTATCCAAGAACAAGTAAATGGACCAAAATAATTGGATGAGTTTTAGGATAAGGTCCATGTAAAGGACTTGGGCCCAATTTAGAAAATTGGGCCATAGATGGGGCATAGTTTGGGCCTTTATGATTATGAGATATTAGGCCATTAGAAATGCCAAATGTTTGGACTGGACTAAATGGTTGGGCCTTTTAATAAGGCCATATAAAGGGTTGGGCCCAATTTGGAAAATTGGGCCATATGTTGGGCTTTGAGTCATAGTTGAACCTTTGGGCCTTTGGAGTGTGAGTTGGACCTTGGGCTTGGAACCTAATTATTAATTGGGTGTTGTTTGATGTTTGAAGTCCAGGAATCTGTCAACCAGCAGCTGGAGTTTCATCCGCGGGACTTCAGCAGTGTCAGGTGAGTTATCCTCACTATATCAACAGGGTCTAAGGTACCAAGGCCGACCCTTTATGGATTTGTATCTGGATTATGGCATGATATGTTTATTGTTCTGTATTTGTTATATGATATGGTTATATGTGTATGGCGTTGTTATTTTGGGGGAACTCACTAAGCTTTGTGCTTACGGTTTCAGTTTATTGTTTCAGGTATTTCAGATATCTCGGCAAGGCGAAGGCGTGACCGTACACATCATCGTGTTTTGGACTTATGGTTTATTGGATACTCTGATATTAAACTATTTTGAAAACATTTTTGTAATAATTAATGGTTTATGGATCTTTGAAAAAGTTTTAAATTGGTTTGATTTTTATGGGTGTTACAGATAGCTAGTCTTATTTTAGTTCATTTCTTTAGAGCAACACTCTCAATCACCGCCTATATAACGTTGATGAACATAAGTCATTAAAATGACAAAAATATCCCTCATGTATTTTTATCATTTAGATACCCCTCCCATAAGCTCATTTACTTCATATTAGCTTATATATAAAGTTTAAGGGCAATCGAAGGTCACTTAGTAGGTTTTCCACAAAAAGAATACATTTAACAAACTATTTGACACGCCCCCGTGTCAAAACTAAAGGTCACCACTTTGTGCAGAATTTTGCTAAAAACTTTGTAACTTGTTCCCTATACCTCTAATGGCTACCAAACTTTACCAAACGGTTATGAAGGACTAAATAAAGGTTATAAAATTCTTAAATACTTAATTAACCTATCATTAAGACCTTAATTCTTACAATCACTCAGATGAAAGAGTCAAGAGCTCAAGTTACTTAAAAACACTCTTGAACCAATATGACTTGTTCCCAAATCATTTAATACATCATTGGGTGTGGTTAACTACATAGAACCACAATTTATCTCATTGAAAGTACTTCATCCAACTATGGAATCGTCAATTCCATTCCATGTTCCCAAATTACCCTTGGGTCAAAACAATTATTAGAGCTAGAACTTCACTAGCAATCTTTCATGTTTATGTTCCACTAACATATCTAGAATGTTAATTCATGTCCATGAATGTCATTCGCTTCTGATATATCAAAATCTATGTAATAATCCATATATTTCCCAAAATGCCCTTATGGCCAATTATTCCATAAATTCAACTATAGACCACTCAATCATTGATGTTATTGCATTCAAATCATATTGTTAGTATCAAATCATGATTATGAGTATCATATACTCATCAAATGCTCACATTCCAAGAATTTCATTGTATTCATCACAATTTCTCACATAACCATCTAAAACCCATCTTTATTCTCGATTCTACCATCATGGATGAATTTGAGCATTCCAATTTGTTTTATTGCTATCAAATATCATCTAGGTCATTGAATCCATACCAATCTAACATATAAACATGAAATCCCCAATCTGAATTTCTAGGGTTAATGAAGGTTTTCACCCAAATCCTCAAATCCATCAATGTGAAGATTGGATTAAGATTAGGATCATCAAAACAACTCAAGGGAGGTAAGAAACCAAAACCGTAATCCTCAAATGAGATGAAAATCGTACATAACTCCCAATCCATAGATGAAACTCGAATTCTACATTAAGGAATAAAGAAAGTATACCTTGAACCACTTGATTTCTTCATAAATTACACCAAATGAACCAAGAAGGCTTGAGATCGATTCCTAGGGTTTCTCGTGAGATTGAATCACCATTTCACTACCTCTCTTCTATTCCCATTGTTCATATTTGACTAAAATGGAGCGGATGCATTCTTATTCTCGGATTTTTCATATTTGGTCCTCCATGTTTCCTTGCTTTGGTTAAAACCTACCAAACTTCAATATTTATGATTTTAACTTAATTTTTGGCATAGTAAGCACTTCCCCATCCATTATATAACTTTTTTAGTCCTTTCCACTAACTAAGCCAACCATTTTGGTCAAATAACTTTGCCAATTTGACACTTTTGACCTTTTAACTTTAAAATGTTATTATTTTCACTTCTAGCTTTCTAAAGTTCATATCAATTAATGGTACGATTAATATTTGATGATTTAACTATATAAATCGTCTTTCATTTATTTACTTTATTGATTTAAGAAACTAGTCTTAAATTTTAGGATGTTACATTGGTGCCTTCGACACGTAAGTACAATGAGGAAAACCCACCTCTCACCGCCGAATCATACAGACGATCTCTGGCTGCTGGCTGACAGATCCCCGAACTGACAAAACAAGACACCACCCCATCAACAACCGATCCCACGAATAATCTATGACTGTAGAACCACAAAAATCCACGCGCCATCAGATACCAAAATGACAACCCATCAACATCTATCCCCTGACTCACACTATGAGTCCAAATTAGGGTAAAAGACCTTTTTACCCTTCCTCAAGCTTAGTCCAAGGCCAAGGCCCAAACTAGATGACCAAAGGCCCAAAATCCAAAAATAAACACCTAAGGCCCAAATATGGCTCAATTTTCCAAATTGGGCCCAATTCCTTTCATTAGCCTTTACCCAAGAAGGCCCAACAAGTCACAACAACCCAATAATAAAAATCCAGATGGCCCAACACAGTCCAACCCAAAACGCAAAAAAGGCCCAAGTCTGCTAAGTACACGGGGTGTACTCAGCCTGTACGCTCAGCGTACTGCATGGAAGGCTTGTACGCGCAACGTACATACTTGTACGCCCAACATACTCACCAACCCAAAGCCAACTTTCCAATTAAACACTTAATCCATTAAGCCTTGGATCCAAAATCAGATCTGACTTCCCCAAGGTGGTTTATCAAATAAAGTTGCCAACTTTATGTGCATGCATGGATAAATAGGACTCTAGAGCACAAAAGAGCTTAATACATGACTTAATACATACATGGAATCAAAAACACCATAAAATTTGCACCTTTATGCCCAAGGAACCCATGATATAACCAGATCTACAATTACAAGCTTCACAAACGACTTAAACTCCCATTCATCAACCAAAAGGGTCAAAATGACCAAAAGTGAACCAAGAAAATATTTGAAATGAAAAGCCAAGGTTGGGACTTTATACCTCCCAAGCTATCAAAAGGAGATACAAATGTTGGATCTCAAAGCTTTCCAATTCTTCAAGTTCCTCCTTCTTCTTCTAGATCTACAAAATGAGCACCAAATCCTCAACAAAGGCTCAAACACCCAACAATGGAGGCTAAGACTCGTCGTTAGGATTTTTGGGGTTTAAGAGGCTGAAAAGGAGGCCAACCTTAAGGAATAAGGATGTTTAAATAAGGTACAAATGATCAAAATTTATGGTTTAGACACTCCTCGTACGCCCAACAAACTCCTCGTACGCCCAGCGTACGAGGCCGAAGCTTCGTGACCAGGCCTACTGACTACGCTTAGTGTACACCAAGGTACGCCCCGCGTAAGTGCCCTCACACGAGTACACCCAACGTACTCCCCATGTACGCCCCGTGTACTAGGGTTTTTCCTAAAAACCCTAAATTCTTCTGGAAGCCATAACTTCTTTATTCTAAGTCTGTTTCCGACGAACTTTATACCTACGGAAAGGTGACGCGAAGCTTTACACTTCTAGCAACCCATCATAGCCTTAAAACTCCTCGAACCAAACCCAAAATTCATAAAGGATTGAAATAACAATTTACGATTATTCCCTTGGGCTCCGAAACACCATCGAATACTTGGTTTACTTAGACTTTAACTCCCTCATCTAAAAAGGGCCAAATCCATCTTCTCCAAGATCCCAAGCCTTAAGATAACTGATGATCGGGTCGCGGCCCCGAATAATGTAGCGATTCGAAACCGAGTGTTACAACTCTCCCCCACTTAAATTCGATTTCTTCCTCGAAATCATTCCTTATCATCCCCGGCATGCTTGACAGCCTGAGGGTCATAACCACAACCTTAAACATA